ACCATCACACACAGCAAAACTGGTCAAGGAAACGATTGAGGCGTTTAGTTGGGAAATACTTTCGCATGCGGCTTACTCACCAGACTTGGCTCCGTCCGATTATTATTTATTTGCATTGATGGGACACGCACTTGCTAAGCAGCGCTTCATTTCTTACGAAAATGGCTTGATGACTGGTTTGCCTCAAAAGAGTAACAGTTTTTTTGGCGTGGCATCCACAAATTGTCAGACAGGTGGGAAAAATGTATAGCTAGCGATGGGCAATACTTCGAATAAATATTTTTTATCATTTTCATACAATAAACGTGTATTTTCTATACAAAAATTCCGCTTTCATATTTACATACTTGGTAAAACATTAATACTAGTAGCATAAACTGTGGAAAAAGTGCTTTTTAAATAACATCAATATCTTTCGTGGTTGCCGAGAAATAAGGAATAAATGTTAGCTGCATGTAAGGGCTTAATCGCAACATCAAAATATTCACGCATTTCTATACTTTACCTAAAGCAACGGTATTAATCGTAATATTATAAACAACTAATTCCAATAGAGTAAAGTGTGGAGAAATTTTTCCGAAAAATCGCGAGGTTCGCAGTTCTCCGAATTTTGGTGCAGGTTTCGCGCTTCCACGAATTTGTCGCGAACCTCGCGCTTCTCAGAAGAACGGCGCGCGTAAGGTGCTCTCCCAAAAAAGGCATTTCTTTTTCCTTTTAAAAGCTAGATGCACCTCGTATGGCATCTCGCTTGCTGAGACGCTTAAATTGCATTAGAATAAAGTCAGAGAAAGTCAGTTCTTTTTGAAATCGATATCATTTGTAGTTACCGAAAGAATAACCTTCTAGCTCTTACGGAAAAACAACATATTGATTGGCTGTCGCGCGGACTTCCACCGCGCGGCAAGCATTGCCGCGTCCTATGTGCAGAAGCTATAAGAAGTAAAGAACGCGTATTCGACAACAGGGCATCAATCATGAATCTTTTCACGTGAGTTTAATTTTACTATCGACCATATAACTTTTTTCCCTAGCATAAAATCGTGAAAAATGAGCAATTTCTAAATATTTATAATAATTATTATAAACTTGTTTTATTTAATGCACATCTGTATTTATAATGCATAATATACTGTTGTAATCTTTTCTTTGTATACTTTATGCAAAATTTTTTATCATATAATTTCAATTTTAAAAAAGTATGCAACCATACAAAGTAAAATTCACTGAAGCAGTTGTCCACATTGTTTTGAATTGTAGAATACGCTTGCGTAATATTACAATTTACATATTTGCGCATGATGATAGTATTATACTATTTTTCACGTTTTAACCATCAACCGTATAGGCTAAAACGTGAAAAATAAGTATTTGTAGTATTTATATAGTAAAATAAAAATAATTTAATGATTTCTTTGTTGGATGTTAGGCCATGGATGCTTCCAAAATACCCAAAGTTGGGTCGAGTTGGGTGGGACCCGATTGACCATGATACGATTGGACACAGATTGTAATGATTGGTTCGACCTAATAATTCACTAGATAATTCTTTTCATCGGTTATAGCGTTTTTCACTGGTGCTCACTGAGTGCGCACTAAGGCTTGTTTACAATACATTTTCATATTTAAGATCGTGTTTTAATACATATTTAAAAATATTTTAGGTTATAAAATGATTCGTACGGATGTTATACATATTATATTACTGGTTAAAAATATTTGAGAATTTATTTAAGACAATCTTTCACTATAATAACATACTGTGAACAAGCTTAGTGCGCACCAATTCTGCCAATGAAAAATGCTATTAGTTGTGTCCAATCGTATCGTGGTCAATCGGGACGCTCCCGTCGAGTTGAGTTAGTTTTACTATAGTATATGTATTAACTCCACCCAGCGCATTTGCATAGAACATAATTATATTAAAGTGAGTAAAATAATAGATTATAAATATTCTCATGTTTGCTTATAATATTTCTTTATGTTATATATTATTTTTTTAGAATAAATGTAACACACAAACAAAAAATAAAATAATAAAATAATATAATTACAATAATATTATAATTATTATTATTACCCATATAATTCCTGAAATCGTTTTTCTGATATATCAAAAGGATCTTGAGTATCTCTTAAAATTTTATGCATAATACGTAAATTCTCGTTTCTTTCGTTTTGTTCCTCATTAACTATCCACCATGCAGCAGCCATCGTAATTGATTAACTTATTATGAATACGGATATTACTTTTCACGGGAAATATCAATTTGCATGAAAGTTTTCACTTTTTAGCACTAAAATTTTTACTTTTTCACGAATTCACCCTAGGTGAAATCGGAGCGACATCTCTGGCGCGATCCCGAGCGCACGGCGACTGCAGAGAGAAACAATGTTATTATACCAAATGGTACAGCTGTTAGTCACTTAAAGGCAAAGGTTGCAATCCTTTAAGACCTGCTGTCCATACATGCCCGTCTCCATCCTTGCCCCTCCTCATCCGGTGCAAATAATATAAATAAGCCCTCACTTTTGCAATTTTATGCCAATAATCGCTAATATCAGATTAGAATCCACGAGCCGCCACTTCCCATTACGATTCCGTTACGAGCCGCCACTTCCCACGAGGAAAACATTGACATTTGATGGCTGCGTTCGCTTTGGGTTCTTACGCGCTGTAGGCGTCATTCTATTAGCATGTTCGACTGGCCCTGTGCTGGGATTCTGTAACTCGTTATTGAAGTTAACGATAATTTCGTTATCGTTGCGCAGCTTTTGTACACCATAGAAAAGCTTGAAAATTCGCTTAGCTCTGGTCATTGAAATCGGCCTGGTGGCCGCTCTCATGCTTCTCTCTGTAATTATTCTTTAATTGTAATAATAGTGTATTTTTAAATAATGTGCTTTAACAGCAGATTAGAAGAACTTTTTTTCATATAGCAAGTCAGGCAGACCATTAATTTCAAATAATACAATAGTAGTTTATTAATATACATGTATTAATAAACTTTACCTAATATATTAATACATAGACATATTTTTCCACACAAAATTAAGGAATCATTTTATTAGACATTAATCACCTGTCCTAAGCATGTCATTTATACTTACTTATGTCACTTACATTAATCAATATGATTAACTTACAAGTTAATAAAAAACACCAAGTTCTCATTCTTCTTTTATATTTATAAAACTAGAGGGACAGTTTCTCTGCTCACTTTATATTACCACATTTTCATATAAAATAAGTTTGTTCAGGTCGTTTGCTTGGGTAAATCAGAAACAAAGACAGTTGAAAACCAGACAACACACAACCCATAAAATTTGGTATTTGTATAAATTGATCATTAATCAGACATCCATATGCGAACCATTGACACGACACTATCATAGAGGCCATTATAACTGGGAAGGGTAAGCTCTCCGTACTCTTTACTCTTATTACGTGTGCCTGTAACAAATTTATTTTGCTATTTGATTACTTAATCATTGATATTTATACAAGCATTTAGTGCAATGTATTCAGCATGTCCAAAAAAGAGCCTCAGACTTACAAAGTAACGCTCAATATTATTGAGTAAAAAATATTTAGTAAACACATGTGAAAAAATTCAGAGTTACAAATATTTTACCCAATTTGATAACGCAATATTTGTGTGCTTCCTTTGATTCACACGCAATAAATGAACGAACCAATGTCTTACCACGTTGTTACTTTACAGATCTAGGCCTCCCGAATTCCGATGACTCTCCAAACGAGCCCGATTCACAAAATCGATAATGAAGTTTTTTGAAGTGTGTAAAATGGGATTTTTCGATTTAGACTTTTCTGCATAGAGCCGCCGTCGTGCAGCATTTCCATTGGCAAGACCATACATGAAATGTCTGCCATTTCCCGATTAGAATAATAAACCGACATAAATAAAGGAATTCTTGCCATCGCGTCTCTTGAACATTCTTGATCACTGATCACAAGGACAAATCTATAGAACATTGTACCGAAGCACGATGATAGTGTAAATATTATTTTGTAAAAATAGAACTGATTTGAAGAATTTTTGAAACAGGTAAACACATTTTGTAAATATTTGGAAAGTATTCGACGCGTGCATTGACACTGTTAAATATTATTATCCTTTCAACAAATTTGCACCAAAACTATGATAATCTCTCATTTACCTTTCTTCTTTCATATAAACAAAGTAGTAACATAGTAAAATACTCTTTTGTTTATTCGTCGTATGTAATCTATAGTAGGACCCAAGTAACTTGCATTACCAAAACTGAAAAACATTTATAACCCTGAAATAGATTTTCCAATTTAAGTTTACTAAACATTTGTTCCTGAATATACAATGAGTACTACCTATTCTGTAAATCTTGAACCCCTTTCTCTGAACATTCTGCAGATAGTTTTATTATTGGATAAATTTATATATTTACAAATGAAAAGGCTTCATATTCCCTTGTACTCACGAGCAAAGTTAAGGGTGATGCGAAGAACAATATGGTCAGACTGCAACTGAGAAATCCTATGTGTTTTGTAGCCAAAGCTTTGTCCGTTTGTATAAAATTAGCGTAAAGATATACAAGTGTAGTGAAAATAAGTGCTGCTGTAACTTGTTTGAGAGTAGTCCATCTTTTTAGGCAGTATAAAGCAAAGATAACAATATAGATTGCTTGTAATATTATCCCAAATAAGTTTACACATATAACAAAGATATCCTTGATATAGCAGCCATATATCATCCACAAGCTACATCTATAATCACAAAAAGGTAATTATAAATTTAAATTATTCTCTATTTACAGTAGCATTGACAAATATTACATATAAAAGATAGAGTGGTTATTTCGTTATATTTTTAATACATACGACATAAAACATGTTATGAAAGCCAAGGCTGAACTATCTCCGGTTGAACCATTTTTTATATATTTCCTGCATACTAATCTGTAAAGAAAAAAAATTCAATTTTATGATATATTTTTCTTGTATATTTAAAAATTGACATTTTATCTTATTATTATGTTACACTGCACTAATATATCCTATAGCGTGTAACAAAAAAAAATATAATGTAATTGCTAAATAAGAAAAATAAGCAAAAATATTTTGTAAATTACTGTACATTAAATTAGATTATGAAATACTGTAGATTGAAAAAGAAAACATTATTGTGTAAACAAAAAGATAATATAAATGAGTAGCTTAGTATGAAGGAAACATCAGATTGCGAGTATTTAATTAAAAACTAGCACAGTACACCAAATACAATATGGATAAAATGCATATTTTAAAATTTGTAATTAAAGATAACAAAGCAATTACAAGTTCAACAAAACAGTTGCTAGGTTAAAAATATACTTGTGTCACTTACACGCCAGCCAGAAACTGCAAAGCAGTACAGATCGACGCGGATAACGCGAGAGTGCCCCTAATCTGCGTCCAAATCATGACCTAACTTGTGCATTTCTTTCACATCAATTATCATTTGACGCTGGAAGCGATCTATCACGGTGTTTGACACTTCGTACACGCCGACAAGACAGATTTGACGTCACATTCGACATCCAATAGGCGAACTCTCATTCCAGAAATAAAGATGCGGTCAATCGATACCCCCAGTCCCCGGAAGGTATTCTCCTATTGGATATCGCAACATTACCCGTCGAACGTTGCGCTTGCGACGCGAGACTCCGTCGAGTCGCGAGCTAACCTAACTTAACCTAACCTAACCTGATCGATCGGTACAACGGGAATTAATCGAGACGTTAGTGTTTGCTTCGTTTCAGAGATGACTCCACCGTTTTCGGATATATATGTAGGTGCGGCGGTACTACTGGAGACGGGGTGGGGTTACAGTGTGCTTTTGCGTGTTTCGCATACATCACTGTGAGCGCGGCGTGCGGAGCGTGTGCGGAGTAAAAGAGAAAGAGGAAGGGAGAGAGAGAGAGAGAGAGAGAAAGAGAGAGAGAGAGAGAGAACGAGAGCGAGCGAACGAGCGAATGTGCCTGTGTATGCGTGCACGATCGAAAAATGTATCTTCCGCTGTGGCCGAGCGCGGTATCGCGCACTGCGTTCGTCGTCATCGTCGCGAGTCCTCGCGCTTGAGAGCGGACCCGTCACCGGGCCGCCGGCCGCCGGGAAAACCCGAGCGTGCTTACGTGCTTACTGTCCCGCGGCGGACAGAGGCCCCGAGTTCGTGTGGTCAACGTCGTCGATCGCTGATTACACAAGCGGGCTAACGGGGACCGCGCGAAGTTACGGAGGTTTTCTATACCCCTCAAAGTTCCATACCGCAGATGGTCATCGCGGCCGAGTCATCCGATTTCCATTGATTTGTATTTATAGTGTCCATCCCGGTTTATTTTCGCATACGGCACGACCGAAAGAGAATATGCACCTATCCGCTGGCTGACGACGTGTCCTCATCGTAAGTGCTCGCCTGCGACGAGCAACAGAGTGGAGCCCCGATGAAATATAGCTATATATTGTTGTAAGATTTTATATATATGCACACACACACATACACACGCACACACACACACACATGTATACACATATACGCGCATACACATACATACAGATACATACGTATCTATATTCGTGTATCGTCTGCGATGCTCGCTTGTGGTGGTATACGTAATACACTGTGAAATATCAGATTTTTGCATCCGCCTATCTTACCGCGTATCCGATTACGTCCGTTTGTTGGGCAGCCTCGACGAGCTCCGTGACACACACACGCGCGTTATCAACGTACGACGCGAAAAAAGTCGAGTGAAAAAAAGAATATATTTGGGACGCAACCGTTCGTGTAGGTATTCGATAACGAGTGTAATAAAAGAATTCGATGTACACGAAAACGAAACGTGAGGTAGAATCCTTTCTCGTTTTGTGTGTGTTAGAGTTGGGTTTTCCATCGCTTGAATACACGCACATACACACACACACACACACATATTGTTCGTTCAAATTGTCAAATTTCATTTTCATGCAAAATAGAATCGAAGAAAGAATTTGGAACTTGATGGAATTGTTGATTATTTCATGTGAAACTCGCTGAAACTCATAAGCTTCGTGTAAAATTAATGTTTAAAAAGAAATCAGAAAAGCAACAATGTTACAGTCGTCTGCAAATCATCGACCAGAAAATAACGCGAATGTTTTGTAAGAAATCGCGATTGTGAGTTCATATTGCAAAGTTGGTTTCGTGACTTTGACTTCCGCTGATAACCACTAGCTTATATTTGTATAAATTTGTCCTTAGCTAATCGTTTACCTGTTAGTGTGGTGTTGGAAGTGGATACTCCTAGCTAGAATTGTTACAATTAAAAAAAAGTTGTAAGGGAAAAAAAAAAGAATACAGAATGGAATCAGCTATAGCTGGAAGAAGGCGGACTGCCACGAGGCATTCGGCAGAAGATCAAGCGCTCGATCAAATAGCTAAGGAGGTATGACCTCAATAGAGATATGTGTAATATTGAAAGCAGAAAAAAAGAAATTCATAGAGCACGTACAAGTATGTAAGGTCTTACTGAAGCATCATGTCAAAAGGTGTTGGTACAGATGATACAAATAGTTGAAAGTAGTGCAATTACTTAGAGTTATATCTTTCTGTCCTTCTAGATATATATATCTCTCTGTGCGCCTAGAAATACCGAATACTTTGCCATCGAGGTTTCTTGCTGTCACACTGTGATATTCTTGTTCTGTATTAGTTTGCGCTACAAAGTAACATAAGAGTGCGTGATTTTATTGTTTTGTCTATGAGTAACATGAGAGGAGCAAAATTTAATATGGCAAGGTGGGAAGACCAAGACTATCCTACTTTTTGTCGGCTTAAAGTTGCATGCGAGTGCATGTGCTTGTGATTGTCCACAAATATTTCTCACTGGGCAATGTGGGGTTTATGTATCCTAAATTATTAAAGAATTTTCAATGAGATGAGATGCATTAAGAATATTCTCATAAAAATATAGTATAATCTTTCAAGAGAGAGAGAGAGAGAAAGAGAGACATTTTATAAGTACAAGTTATAATAGTTTGTATTTAAATAATAAGTAGCTCATATTACATGCTATATCTTATTTTGCTGTTACTTTATATTCTTATGCATTAGAAACTTTATTTAGATAAATTATGTATATTATGTTAAGGAATTGGATATAACTTATGTAACAAATAAATCATGTATATTTGCAAATAAGAACAGAGGTAACAGCAAAATATTCTTAATTGCCAGAAACTGGTAATTTTCACTTTATTTGCTATTTTATCTAATGATAAATATTAATAAAGGAGCTTTATAATATGGTGAAGTATAAATAATGAATCAAATGTGAATGTATGTTTTTGGTAACAGGCTGGATTTTCCATACATACTTTCAGGCAGAAGCAAGACTAGCTGCTAGGAGACAGGCAAGAGCAGAAGCTAGAGAAATTCGAATGCGTGAATTAGAAAAGCAACAGAAAGAAGCAGAAGAGAATGCTGACAGAGTTTATGATATGTGTACAGGTAATTAAAAGCAAGTCACATCATTTTTGTATTCTAATCCTCAACAGTAATCTTGCTGATGGTAAGCTCTTTCAGACAGCTCTTTTTTATCTATTTTTAATTACAGCTGATGTAAACAGAACAATGAGAGTAACCCCAGATCCAGTGCGCACATCGCGACTTCTTACAAATTCCAACAATTTCCAGTCGAGCCGTCGATCTTCAGAGGATTCATTGGAAGATGCGGGATTAAGCAGAGATATTAGGGTATGTTTCTAAGTTAGTTTTAAATGTTCTAAGCTAGTATTAAATGTTGCTTCACAATCGCTCGTACGACAAAAACGTTACAAGTTCTAACAGTATTGATGCACATTCTTACATTTACATACAGCTGGAATTGAAGGAATTTGAGGAGAAATTCCGGAAGGCGATGATAGCAAATGCTCAGTTAGACAACGAAAAATCATCTTATGCCTATCAAGTTGACTTATTAAAAGACAAGTTGGAGGAGTTAGAGGAGACAACGGCACAACTACGTAGAGAATTGAGAGAAAAGAATCGAGACGTTGAGCAATTAAAACGGGTCAGTCAGAGACTAAAAGAAGATTTAGACTTGTGCAAAGCACAATTGTACGACAGGGATGAACTTATAAAAGTACGTATATTGTCGAAAGATATATTTGTAATTGTGCTTTTACACAACCACATAATGTTAAATTATAAATCAGGAGAACGGTTTAGTCATCGTTGAATACGTAAGTGAAGATGACGATTATGAAAATACTGAAAATGGACCATGTCACCCTAGGAGGGTACTAGTCAGTACGGAAGCTGCGGAATTATTAGAAACTGCTGGTAAAGGTTCGCTAGGTGTGTAATCAGTGTGGAACTATGTCTTTTGTTTACGTTTAATAAGTAAAATAAAATTCTCTAACGTCCACATCTGATCGTTTCACAGATGTCCGACTGAGAAAATTTGCTTCCGAGAAAAAAGAGTTGCAGGATGAAATACGACATTTACGATTGGAATTGGAAGAGACCAGAAGTCGTGTAAGATCGGAGAGATCATCTGGCTCAGTATTAGGTTGATATTTATGCATGTCTCTTGTCCTATCGCGAACGGCATGTAGTTGCCAATGTAAAGGCATATTAATTTATGACATTTATATATCGATTGACATATCTGTTGCGACAGGTTGCTTATCAGATAACGATGATATTCAGCGTGAGGCAAATAAATTGTTGGCAGATTATAAATTTAAGCTGCAGAAAGCGGAACAGGATATGTCTACTTTGCAAGCAACAGTAGCTAGACTAGAAAGTCAAGTGATTCGTTACAAGTCAGCCGCGGAAGCATCTGAAAAGGTGGAGGACGAATTGAAAGTGGAAAAAAGGAAGTTACAGAGAGAAGTACGAATACGTAAAATATCGATAAAGGGGAGATACAGGTTTACTTTTGGAAAAATTATAGGTATTTGCGTTCACTCAATATAATTGTTTTTAGGTGAGAGAAACGCAAGGTCGCGTAGAAGAATTGGAGACAGCGAACTCCCATTTGCAAAGGCGATTGGACAAACTTAAAAATGCAAAGTCGGCCCTTCTAAAGGAACTTTGACGGAATGATGTTTGCAGAGACGTAGAATGAGTCTGTCGTTTACTTATACCCTGAAGAGACGCCCGTGTGCCGATGTTGCCTCGATATTAATACTACTTAACACTTTGGATGTAGTTTACAAAAGCGAAGATTACGTATTACCGTTATAACACTTCACATTGTAGTGAATGTCATTCGGACATAGAACCACAGGAAATCGCTGTGGGGAAGTTCCCTACCTCTTACATCCACAAAGTCTTTGATACAAACTTTGTTACTCCTGCATTACATCCCTTAGTAGAACAACGAGAGACACTTTTTAATACATTTCACACGTTAAATTTTTCTACGAATTTATAGCAGTTAATGGAGTCGATGTAGAACTTCGAATTTTTATATAAGTGGCAAGTGATCACAAATAGTGCATTTGTTTCTGCCTCACATCTCCTTTTCTCTCACCTTGTTTCTCTCGTTTTATGGTGGATTCATGAAAATTATTTCAAATTACTAATATATATTTCTAAAAGCGTAAAAATATTTATATTACAATGAGCGTTAAATGCTTTTTACCGTATTAAAATTAATGCGGCAGAGTATTTTAGTAGTTTCTTCCTTTACCTATCCCTGTGATAGAAACGTAATAAGAATTCCGTAACATAATACACGCATCTAGGATAAGCATAATATTTAAATTTCTAGGCTAATATTGTAATTCCCATATGTTAAATGAAATGACAGAATCTTAACTGAATTTTATATATACTGCTAATCAAATTGCCACACTTAATGTTTACTGAACATTTTATATCCGAATTGTCTCCGGAACTAATTCTTATAACGAATTATTGGTACATTCATTCAACAGACTGATGTGAAGTAAAGCAAAAGTAGATGTATGATAGTGTGGTCTTTGTAAATTTAAAATAAATTAAAATATGTTGTTGAATATCTTTTATGAACGTATATTAATTATGTTAAATCCTTTATAAGGCATAAAATAAAAGTGTCTTCAGGTTGAGAGCAACGAAATATCTATATTCAAATTTATAGATCTGATAAATAATAATCGAATTATAATCGAATATATTATATAATCGAATTATAATATTTCAGATTATAATACAACAAACACACACACGTAACAACACAAAACAAAACAACAGGTCTGTGATCTTCACAAAACAAAATATGATAACAAACAAAACAAAATACGATCTTCACAAACCATGTTAATTCCACGTGGAAATTTATATTACATTCAAACATCAATATATACACACACAGCATTCAATATCCGAAAACAAAATTATACAATTGGTTATTTAAAAATAAGTTGTGTTAAGGAAGTTTTTTAAAAAACATTCCCTAATTGGACATTGAATCATCATACACTAAACTCTGTATATCTCCTATCATAAGATTCAAGTTATAGATTCAAAATATAGATAGTATTCTCAATAAAAATAAGTTTAAGGATAGGAAAAGGCTAATCTGAGTTCAAGCACGGACGTAGTAGTGCTATATTACCTAAATTGATGAAACCTTCCTTTGTTAGGAAATAAAGTATTTTATTAAAAAAATAATAAAATCTATAAAAAATCATCAAACGTTTTGGTTCAGCCGTGAACCCTCTCCAGTGATAAAAACATACAAAGAAAAAATCTCGATGCTAATACAGAACGCAAATTACAACTAATAATATCGAACTTGGATGCTCACGAAGAACATAAACAGTTTTTTTAATATTACAGTCGACAAAAACGCTCACAATCAGTTCTTAATTCCTTGTTCATACGTGTATAGTATGCTGCGGTTTTTGTCTAACAAAAAGTAAAAAGAAAAGAGTCTGTAGAAACTAAAGGATACAGTAAGAAAAATTAAATTGAAAATTTATAAATTACCTTAAAATCAGATTATAGCTTAAACCAGGTATATGGAATACAATTGTCGACGATAATATTACCAAGTGTAGGAATGTAAATTACAATCAGTTTATACAAGCAAACGAAGTAAGAAAAGGCGACTACGGAAGAGAAGGAAAACGAACATCAACCTATCAAAACAAACCGCAATAGCTATTGCCAAGGTATTCTGTGTCTTTTTGCGAATTTAAGTCTGTTCTGAAGACCGATGTAAATCATCTCGACTACTAATCGTTTGATGTAAAAACATTCTTTATGCAAGACTTTAATATGTTCCCAATCAAATTCATGATTTAAATTAAAACGGTGTTCTTGGACGGCCGTCAATTCCACCGTTGCACTTCTTGGAACTCTCATATGTTCAGAAACCCGCGTAGAGAGTTTTCTACTAGTCTGTCCGACATAAGATGCCTCACAATTACTGCATTGCAACTTGTAGACGATGTTGTTATGAAGTCCAAGCGGAAGCCTGTCTTTATGTACTCGAATCATATCCGTTAATTTATTTGCGCAGGAATAAGAAATCCTTGTCGAATCATTTTTAAAAATCTTTGTCAGTCTTTATGAAATCGAGCCAAAAAATGGTATTGTAAAAAATTTATTTTTATTTTTGACAGAAGTTGTTAAAACTATTCTTTAATTCTCTAAGTCATCCCTGCTGCTCTTAATAAGAAAAGTCAATTTACATTTTAATGTTCTAAAAATCAAGTCAATTGGATAGTTATTGTTTATTCGAGTCAATATAATAAAATCTAAAGATAAAAATAAGTTTGGGTAGCTCCAGTTGTGATTAGATACAATGTTCTGTGAATCTAACATTTGACAAACTAATTGATAACATATTTAGATGCATTTATTACAATATTAAGGTAAAAACAATTATATTAATTACCCCTAAAATGATTTAAAATCATTTTTGCTGAGTCATTTAAAAAGTTTTTTATATAAATGTTTTAAACTTATAGAACTTAATTAATTTCTGATAAGTTGTTTTCTTTAGATTGTGATGTACATTTCTCACAACACATGATGTTCCCAATATGAGAACAGGTATTCCTTATTTCTAGAATAAAATAATCAACACCTGTATAAAGCCATTGTCATCTTTTTGAAGTCCTTCTCACTCAGAAATTGTTTGATTATCATTAGAAGCTCCACTGGCAAGCCTTGAAGACTGGGATTTGTTAGTCTTAATGAATAAAATATATCTGTACGTACAGGAGTAGCCACTTCATTCTTAAACCTGGTAAATTTCATAAAGTTTCAAGATTTAATTTCTTAAAATGATGCAATTGTGTATATATATATATATATATATTGCTTGTACCTATGTGATATGCTCTTCAGATTTCTATATCGACTACACAGTCTTTCTGTGTATGGATTCACATACAGTAGAGTCTTCACTACCATACTATAAATTTTCTTATTTTCTATACATGGATACATATTCAGAATTAATTTATCACCTACAGGTTTAACAATTAATTTTGACTGAATACCTGACTGAAGTAATACAAAATATATTTCATACAACCCTGAATTTTGAGATTTCCAATTAGTAGATATGTGAACTAATTTTGTATTCCATTTTTTGCTATAAAAGAAATAAAATATATATAAAAATCAAAACAAACAAAAATCAAAAAACGATATTTATATCATATAAAAATTTTGTAAAAACATACACTTTTCTCTCCAAATGATTAGAGATCGATGATCCTGAAGACTCATCAATAGATTCTAGTTAAATAGTAGTTGCTTTTAATATATATTTAAAAATATTACAGATTAAAAACTGCAAAAACTGTCGAGCATCTCTTACCAGAAGTGGGTAATGCATGAAATCCAGATTCTGCTAATAAAACGAGTAACAAAGCGACAAGATAATCATGGTGTATAGCTTTTTTGTTGTCCAATTGCTCTAATACTGCACATAACGATAACGAAAGTGTAGAACATGTACTATCTTCCGCTAATATTGGCTCAGATATATTGACTACTCTCTTGAAACAGCTTAATATTTCCATCGTTCAAAATGTTATCTAATGTGAAGTAAAAATTAATGTAATTTCTGTGTAAAATTGAGGTTATCGTTGATCAGTTTTCTCTTCAATAATGTCTAACCTCTACACATATGACACAACAATGCCGAGGAATCATTGTATAGCACAGATACAATAGCAGACACTTCTTCTATAGCGATAAATAAAAAAAATGTGTGAAATATATAATTTCAAAATTTAGGGAGCAATTTTGTTTTTTAACATTCATAAGATAATCGTGCCTAAAAACTGTCCTTGATTCAGCAGCACACAATGCTGATTTCGTGCTAGTTTGCTTGCTGGCAACAGAGAGAAACCTGAGAGCGGCCACGCCATACGTTTTGACCGACACCGATTTTCACGCTGTTCGATGCGCCATCTGCCCATTTTTTGGTGCGTTCAAATTCCCTACCCGGGTGCACTCTATTACTAGAAGTACTATAGTATATGTTACATATATTATAGTATTTCTAGTAATAGAGTGTACCCGAATGAGGAATTTGAACGCAGCCTTTGAGGTTCCCTACGCCCATTTTTGTATATACATGAAATCGGTAACGTCGATAGATAATGATAACGTTTTCTACTTTTTGACGATCGCCTCTACGTTATTGACGCTTAGCGAGTTCGTCATTCACTTCAGCATCTCCCTCTTCACTTAAGCCCGTATCAGACTGCACAGGCCCGACTGCCGACTACGACTACCGACTCTCAATGGACCAATCACCGACTCGGCACCTTACTGTGATTGGTCCATTGAGAGCCAGCAGTCGTAGTCGGCAGTCGGGTCGGCCTGTGCAGTTGGTAGTCTAATACGGGTTTTAGGGCTCCGTTCAGATTCCACACCCGGGTGTATTCTATTACTAGAAATGCTATAGCATATGTAACATATACTATAATGTTTCTAATAATAGAGTGCACCCGGATGAAGAATCTGAACGCACCCTAAAGGATAGCAACCTTTGCCTTTGAGAGATTGACAACTGTATCATTTGGTACAGTAACGCTCTATGCACAATGTCAGGCAACAGGCAATAGGAATAGGTATTAGCCAATAGGAACAGGGAATAGAAATAATTGACCAATCCGAATTCCTATTCCCTGTTCCTATTGCCTGTTGCCTGTTGCCTGGCATAGAGTGTAACAATGGCCGCGTTCAGTAGAACAAGTGATCAGTAAGCGCTCAGGGAGCTCTTGTATATGATTTGGCATATTCTTTTAGATCTCCAACTATACTCCAATCAGATGCAAGAGCTCACTGAGCGCTTACTGATCACTTGTTCTACTGAACGCGCCCATTGGGCGCATTCAGTAGAAAAAGCGCTCAATGAGCAATCAACGATTATTGGTTCTTGCTATTAGATCCCTAAATCTAGACCAATTACATTGACAAATTACTCAACTGTTGTGCAACTGTTGAGTCTACTGAATGCAGCCATTGGCTGCGTTCAGAAAACATAGCTGATCAGTGAGCGGTCAGTGATTATTGGTCCTTACTGTTAGATCCCTAACTTTAGACCAATTACGTTGATTAATTACTCAACCGTTGTGTAACCGCTGTATCTCCTGAACGCACCCATTGTTTCTCTCTGTAGTCGCCGTGCGCTCGGGATCGCGCCAGAGATGTCGCTTCCGAACGGCATCTTTGAGCGTTATCTAGGGAGAGTATATAGCCGGTATTCATAGTCAGATCTTATATTTAAAACCGTCTTAAGTTTATTTTCAGATAATGAACGGATTATTTCATTGGTTACGGAGTATCTGAAGATGAACTTAAGCCATTCTTAAAAATAAGACCCGACTATGAATACCGGCCTATATGTTTATAAATTTATTTCTCCTTTTTCTATTAATTCCGATAACGAATGTTGCATGAATGATGTACATCAAGGCTCACACTTTGACAATTTTATCCTGCAGGAGATTGTTCTCTGACTATAAGCGTTCTGCAAGCACATAGTTTGCTGCGAAGCTGAAACAAGAAAATGAATTAAAGGAAAGAATCGGTCCAACAATATCCGCAGTCACAGACAATATGTAGATAATTAATCTTTTATTATATGTATACATATATATATATATATAAATTTTAACTACTTATCTGATATTTGTTTGTCATCCATTTATTTATTCTGCTATTTTCCTTGTGTAAACTTGTGTAAACTTGTCTTTAATCTTGCACAGACTTCATTCCATATTTAACGATGTTGCCAAAATGATTTTACTGCAAAGAATTATGCCACAAACATGAATGATATCATGAATGATATAATGATATTATATACAATTGTATAATTTTAATGTATCAAAACTGAAACATTAAAATTATACAATTGTATATAATAATAATTTATTAATTTATAAATACATTTATATTT